AGAGCTCCCAATCCGACGCATATGGAATTGTTGGCAGTACAACATTGACTCAAGCGAGAATGTTGGGACAAAAAAGGTATTGACACTTTTAGACACGGGCTCAGAGATAAGTATACTACCCGTGAACGTGCTTATAGAAGCCAGGAACAGTGGCTACGATGTCGAGTCACTTCAGACTTTCGACATTGTGGAAGAAAGCATATACGATGCATCCAACCATGTTATGAGCTTTCTCGGAGGTGTAAAAGTAGAAGTTGAACTAGAAGGTGGATGCAAAAAGGAAGTAGCCTTTCATGTTTCGGACGATACGAATGAGGAAGTACTCATTGGCACAAATGCATTGACGAGTCTAGGGGTGGAAGTAGTGATACACAAGAAGCCTGAAGTCAAAGTAAAAGCAAAGAAGAAGATGGTGCCTCCACACAAGAGAAACACCACCTCAGTAAGAGCAAAGATCCAGCAAGGTACCATAACTGTGAACAGATCTATCTCAGAGAAGGATAGGCCTGTAATTGTCAACAAGAAAACTTTGATTGAGAAAAAAAGAGATGTCAAAACAGACAAAGGAATCCGGCCAGAGGAAGCTTGCGAGCGCTGGAAGAAGTCGACATGTAGGAAGGGCAGCAAAAAGCATACCCCTTCCAGAAGCGATCAAAAAATGTGCGGAGAGGCACAGAAAGGAGTCAGAGTTGAAAAGACACGCAGTGAGGAAGGACTCAGTTCTGAGAAGGAACGTCCTGTTGCGTTTATTGCACCGACACCTGCAGCAGCACTTGAGGAAGTTGAGTTGAAACAGTGCGGAGTACTGACCAAGGTGGCAGTATCATTCAGTCAACTCAAAGAAGCGTTGAAATACTTGAAGAACTGTCGTATGTGGATCATAGTATGGCCCATGAACCCAAGAAGGGAGGATGAGGCTATCATTGAGACATTGCGGATATGCAAGAAGTACCTCGAAGAAGGAGGAAAGATTGTATCCGTGTGGCCGCCACCATTGTTCAAGAAGACTGATATGTGGAAAACGAAGTCAAAAGTGTGGACGGTGATTGAATCAGTACTGAAGAAACGGGCAAACTCGAATCAGTTATTCACGTTGACTCCCTCAAGAACAGAAAGTGGGAACAGAACAGAGAAGCAGATGGACTCCAAAATTCTTTTCAGGTATGCGACACGTACTTCAGGGATGGAGATGGATATGCGCGCTACCTCTACAACGACATTCGCAGGAGAGTTCCCGGTGCAAAGCTCAGCAAGTGCGCAGCAGCACTGGAAAGGGATGGAATGAGATGCGGTGTAATGACCAAAGTGATAGTACAGTATAGCCAGCTGAAGGAAGAGCTTGAGAAATTAAAGAATTTTCGCGTCTGGATTATTGTTTGGCCAATAGACACCAGGAGAGAGGACGAGGCCATCACTGGAGCAGTTGTGGCGTGCAAGAAGTATCTAGAAGAGGGTGGGCTTATAGTATCGGTTTGGCCACCGGTGGTAAGCAATAATGCCCATATTTGGAAAGTCATGATGGAACTCTGGACTCTATTAGACGCCACATTGAAGACATACGCTGGGCCAGACCAGCTCATAACTTTAGCGACAGCGAAAATTGAAGACGGAAAAATATTTATGGAAGCAGGCTCACCAGAATGCAGTTTTCAGTTCTATTCGACCTATCGTGGAGTGGCTTATGCGCGCTATCTGTACGACACCATCAGGAGAAGAGCCCCGAGAGCAGAACTGCAGGAACTGTCGCCACCGCCGCCGAGGACGCCGGCTCCCCGGAGGGGAGGAGTGTCAGATCGGGTAGATCGGGATTTTAGTATTGGCGGGAAGAAAGCCCGCCTTGACCCCTTCGGCAGGGTATAAATACAGGTAGTCAGGGGGAGGCCTCGGAGTGCGCTGAAGAAGCGCTAGCGGGAGCTAACTCCGTCGAAGAGAGGCGGATCTCCCCCTTAGATAGAGAGTAACCAGTAAGCCTGCCGAAGTGGTCAAGAGGGTAAAGCCCGTCGTTTCGTTGTTAGGCCTTGTTCAAGTTACGCATTGTTGTTCATTGTTGTTTGTTGCCGTTTTTCTGAGATAAATTATTAGTCGTTCCATCCGTGTTGTCTATCGATCCGGTTAAAACCGCTATACCACTAGACACCCCCGGTTACACAGCTGTATTTCATGCAGTACTGTTGACTCCATACGTACTACTATATTAGGGTTTTTCAACACCAGATTTTCTTATTTACGGGCAAAAATCTTACTGTAAGTAACGGATGACAGACCGCGCCTTAGTTTTTTTTTTACAAAAGCATGATTTCATTGAAGCTAATGGCGAAGATCATCAATATCGTCCCATTTTTCAACAACATGGACCGATGCAATATCAATTAAATGATAGTCTACATTTGCTTTCCTTTTTCGATTTAACTTTGTGTATCTCATCTCCTTTGTGCAGAAACCCACCAAATTCTTTTTCATACTTTTGTGAATGATGATAACCATTTTACGCATTTTTATTGGAAATTCGTGTGCTCCGACTAGCATTGCTCAGAAAATCTTTATCCTTTTGCCATTTTTACTGATTTTATTTCGCAGCATTTCTAACCAGAGTTTTGCAGTTTGTAATGTTCGCAGAATATTTGCTATTACACATTATACTCAATGGTGAAGAGAAAAACTATAAAGCTGCTTTCTAAACTCGGCTGAAAATCGAAATCGTACTTTCTTATAAGACTCGCAAACTCTTAAGAACTTCATTACTCTTTAGTTTCAAACTTTGTTATCAGAACGTCCTAAAATACATTCGGTGCTCTGCTCCATATATCTGTCGTATCAATCACTTGTTTAGCTTGTTCTGCGAATTTATGATGAAACCATATCTGCTGAATCTTTTTTTAAATCCATTCCTCAGACAATCGCTGGGGGCAGGCGGGCACCGGAAAAATAGATTGCTGATTTCTCGCACCCCGCTCGCGGATTTTTTGCAAAGCAATCGGGACTTTTCGGAAGGCCGCTTGCTGAGTCAGCGGATTTTTAAGAGACCGCCTGTTGAATTTTTTTTCGCTCTTATCTTTTGCAGATATATTGCTGAATCTCTGAGGAATCGAGAACTCAGCAAGCGGTCTTCCGAAAAGTCCTGATTGCTTTCCAAAAAATCCGCGAGCGGGGTGCGAGAGATCAGCAATCTATTTTTCCGGTGCCCGCCTGCCCCGGCGATTGTCTGAGTCAGTGGTGTGAGAGTAACTGCAAACTTATAATGCAGAAGTTGACCCAATCCAAACAGACCTATGCTTTTGAATCAGGATTTTTACTATCACTTTCGAATAATATATTTGAAATCTTTATATTTGTCATATCATATCAGCCCACTTGGTACTTCCTAAGCTTTTCGCCAGAAATCCCGTGATACTTGAGTAGGCAAATTACAGAGGCCGATTGGGATCCACCGTTCGAATTTCTTATTGATTCTGACTTTTTGTGTCGTTGTTTGTATCTTGGACGCAATTGCAATTCAGAAAATGCTTTTTATCTCTATATGACTGCCAATAACAGCTCTTGTGAGTCTCATACGAAGGGATACGATCATCAAATTTTCCGCTTTCTTTTTGTTTTCAACTGCGTTTCCAATGTGAGCACTTGTTACATTTCTTACTCTGAAAAACCCTGGAATTTCCACTCAGAATAAGGCTTCGGTCATAGACATTCTAAGAAGTGCAAGAAAGTCCTCACTAATTAATCTACCGACGATTTATGTAGATTTCTTGAGTAATACTTTTTAGGTAGTTTAGTGAAGTATTAAACAACACTTAGTCATCACATTTTTGTTATCGTGCCAATAAACTATATCGTTGCATTACTAGATTTCAAAGTACATTTGGTCTTTAGTCACAATAAAAAACAGCTTTTAGGTAGGCTCAGCTGCTTAAATACACAAGAAAAGGGTTTATAATCGGATATTCGGACAACGAAGTGAACCGTCAATCTATACTGACATGACGTGTCAACCTTATAAGTGGGTCCCAGCGAAAGGTAGCCTATGCTTGCAAAATTTTTGAAGGTGGTCTACTTGGAGTTTTTCGCAAGTGACTTTATTTTAATTTGAACTGTCTTTGAGAAATAATGACTCGTAGACGTAGCACGCTTAAATATTTGAGAAGGATTTCGGAGTGCGTAATTGACACCATTATACGCGATCGACTCCCCCTTCTCTCTCTCCCGTGAAAAACTTGAGATTTCTACCACTAAGCTCATGGCAGAAATGTATTGAGCAGACGAGAAATTAGAGATCCAGAACAAAATCGCGTGCACTCTAATAGAATGCAATTATCCGATAATATTGTCTTAAACCCTCCCTCCCCCCTCAGACTGATAAGAAGAAAGAACGGCCCAATGAGGAGCCTGCAGCCCGATATTTTAACAAACGGCCCACAACCCCCGCAAGCCATAATTCCTACGAGCCGCTTATGTATTATCTTCTATGGGCAGCCAAAGACCGAAGTGCTGAGAAAAAATGAAGGGCCTAACAACTGCTCAATGACCTAGAAGAACTGTTACAAACCAACTTCGAAGAAGAAGAACGCCCTTATTAGTCGTCAAGGACTTTTGTTAAATGGTAGGGGCAGCCACGGATACTCTAGCAGAAAGAGAATGTGAAGAGACTATCATGAGCATGATGTCGAAAACCAAACTGTGCTAATAGCAATGCAAACTTAAAACACCTAGTTTCGGGATCAATCATACCCATATAGTACAGACTTGTGAAAGAGCAGGGGGGAGGCTGTTAGCAGCCCAACGCGAGTGTTGGCACCTCCGAAACTGTAGCCTTTTTGCGCCTGATAGCCGCATCCATTTCGGAAAACCTCTCGAGGAGGGACGACGCTTACCTAGAAATCCCACCAGCCTTGCTGCAAATCTGTACTCTCACACCCACCACAATCACTCGCCTCAATCTGCAACTTGTCAACATGTAAGTGCAAACTCTTGCCATTCTTTATTATGAAATCAATGAATCAAGACTATCACTTTTCAACTGGTCTAGCGAAACCGATCCTTTTGTTGGATATGTCATGAATATTACAGTATTCCCGCAGGAATGGGCCACCAAGGATCCATTGTGGTCCTAAAGAAGCGCCGATTGTTGGCTTGAGTCCCAAAACACAAGTCTTTTCATTAAGGTGAACGAGCAAGTTTTTAGCTGTGATAGGGTAGTCCTTCCCAGCGATTGTGATGGTCACTTCAGCGTCCGCATTGCAGTCGAGCGTGTAAAGGGAGTAGGAGGCATTGAGCTGGAATAAAATTGTAGAATATTTGTATTGCAAGTAGAGGCTGGTCCCTGGCGAATAGTGATTGTGAAGCGTTTGCGAGTGCGGCATTCGAGCTTTTTCATCGTTGGAGTTTGTACGCCCGCGTATGCGTCGCTCGCGTGGCCGGATGCGCGTCCCGGACTTTACTAACAAGGGAAGTTCACTTAGTCGAGGTTGCGATTCGAAAGGAGATTTATACCTGTGGATGGAGCTTAAAAAGCTGATCACAGATATACCTTCTATATCTGCGATGCGTTGTTCTGAAAAAAGTTATGAGCTTTTCTAAAGCTAAACTTCGTGCACTTTGATTCGTAAAATCATGTTAATCGCTACACAAAAGTGTGCAAGCTTAAGCACCATCTAGTAAGCATTGTAGGTCTAATTCGAGTTCATCCGAACGTTTTCGAGTGATTCCTACCATGTTGTTTATTCACAGGGCGTCATTTCCTTCCTAGATCACACTTCTATCTTATACAGGGTGTCCCAAAAAAATGTGAACACTGTTTAATCGTTAATAACTCCGTTGCTTTCATGTCTTTCGCCGAGCTTGAAGCACCATTCAGTAGAGCGAGGTTCAACTTAGATTTGTAGTATGGAGCGAATCACCGATCGCTGTTCGTTACTATAGGATCACGGTATGAACTTCTAGCATGTGGATCTATTGTGAAATATGCCATTTGACAAAAGTTTTTTCAAAAAATCTAAAAAATCGTGTACTAGGGTTTTCATGCACGCTGATTCCATTAGACAACTTTTTACGAGTACTTTTAGCCTTTTTGACGATGCAATCACATTTCTGACAAATGCTGGGAATTCACTTACTACGGTTTACCTGGAATAACTTTGGAAAGAAGCATCACAGTAAAGTGGAAACTTTATAATCGAAATCAACGCCCTCCATTACCATAGTATAGAAGTTTTTGGCTTGTTTGGTTTTGATCCGAGGCAGAATATGGCCTCCAATGGCCCAAAATCCTTGTCGAAATTTCTACCGTAGTCCTACAGTAAAGAAAAGAGATCGGTAAGTCAATCCATGCTGTAAATCTAAGTTGAACCTCGCTCTATAGAATGGTCACTCAAGCTCGGCGAAAGACATGAAAGCAAGGGAGTTATTAACAATTAAACAGTGTTCACATTTTTTGAGACACCCTGTATATAAAGCTGAATGTCTGTTTGTCTGTATGTCTGTATGTCTGTATGTATGTACGTATATTCCGAATAGAAAATTCCATTTCTGAACCGATCGGGACCAAACTTGGCACACATACACTTCGGGCCCCGGCGGGTGTCATAGGCTACTTTTCGTATCGTCGATATCGATTTTATCGATTTTTTGCAAAGTTTGAGCTAGGGGGCTGGAATTTGGCACAGGAGGGTAATCGAGCATGCTGATCACTCCCGTGGGGGTGATCAGCATGCTCGGTTACACCCCCCTGCCAAATCCCAGCCCCGTAGCTCAAACTTTGCAAAAAAATCGATAAAATCGATAAAAGTAATGCACGGTTTCGAAAACTAATATTGTATTCGTAATCGGCATGCTCGATTACACCCCTCTGCCAACTCCCAGCCCCGTAGCTCAAATTTTGCAAAAAATCGATAAAATCGACATTGATCGATAACGAAAAGTGGACTGTGACACCCGCCGGGGCCCGAAGGGTATGTGTGCCAAGTTTGGTCCGGGTCGGTTAAAAAATGGAATTTTCTATTCGGAACATACGGCGGAGCCGGGTAAGCCAGCTAGTTATATATACAAAAATGCCCATAACCTCCATCTAGAAGAATGCGTCGCAGATATTGAAGATATATTTGAGAACATCGTTTCAGGTTCTGTCCATTGGTAGTTTCCAGAAAGTTTCCTACGCAAAGCGTTTTTCTAGATAGAGGTTATGGGGCTTTTTTGTATACACAATGAAGTGTGATCTAGGAATGAAATGACGACCTGTGGATGAACAACATGTTCGAAAAACATTCGATAGCGTTCGGATGAACTCGAATTAGACATACAATGCTTACTAGATGGTTTGCATAAGTTTGCACACTTTTGTGTAACGATTATCATGATTTTGCGAATCAAAGTGCACGAAAATTTGGCTTTAGAAAAGCTCATAACTTTTTTCAGAACAACGCATTGCCGATATAGAAGGTATATCTGTGATCAGCTTTTTAAGCTCTATCTACTGGTATAGATCATCTTCCGAATCGCCACTTCGACTAAGTGAACTTCCCTTGTAAGTTTGTTGCATGCAATTTTTTTTATCAGCGAGTATAAATTGTGAAGTACCGTGCAACAAAAATTACGTTGCACTTCAATATCTCGAATCTCAACATTCCATTTTAGAACTTAATTTCCATTTCCCCCAAAATTTTAGCTGGCTAACGGCATTGGGGGGGGGGGGGTGAAGAATTCACTTCCTTCAATAATCACCACAAATCATTTGTACCATTACATAACACGAAGCAAAGGTTTTTGACGGTCTTGTAGCTCAAAAAATCTAAAAAGCCTAAAATGATTTTACCTTTGCGTGCAGTTGTTCGGCTAGCTTTGCAACCACTAAAGATGGTCCAGTAATCAGCGATGTCCCTGTATCAGACATTGCTTGCCATGTAGTCTCACTTGTTTTGTATCCTTTAGCGGAGAATGCGTCTACCTGAATTTTCACAAATTTGAACTCTACACATGACAAGATCGTACTAGCTCTAAAACAGAGAAAAAACATTGCAGTAACACTAGGTATTCTTTGATAATTGTATAGAAAGCTATTCAAAAGGATAACGACGCTAAAACTGTACCATACCAGAATTTCGGGAAGGTATGTGGAGAGAAAGTGCTATCAGCAACACTTTGAGCTACTTAGCTCATTTTGCGCCACCAATGCCTATCGTAGGCATAAATTTCGGTTTGGTTCTTTTTGAAGAGCCTTTTAAAGGTGAAATGAAATTAATTGGTTATTTGTGTAAAAAGGAAAAGATTCTTGCCTTGAGAATAATATGGATATTTTTTATAGCTACCAATACTACACGAATTAATTCAATGCTTAATGCCAGTGTTGGTCCGAGACATTTACTTTGGAAAGGGAAGACAAAGCTTTTTTTAAAAGGTCGTCCCTCTAAAATGTTTCTGGGTGCTTTTCAAAAATTAGCGAGCCTGATCCGAACTTGGAGAAGGAGGCAGTCACACCCCCAAAAACTGTTCTTTGATTAACAAATGAAAACAAGACATTTGCGCAGTTTTCACCTCAAGTAAAGCGCATTCAAGTAGTTTGCGACCCGTTTTCTCGGGAGGGCACACCCTCTTTTTTTTACTCGGCCACCAAAACTACCAGATTGCTTGTGAGAAAACTGAATAAAAAATTGACCTAGGCTTACCTTGAATTGCCAGTACCTAGCCGACGAGAGAGGTACGTACGTAATCTCATCCTCGCAATTAATAGTGTCTAAACCACCATAGGTGATGGTTCCTCCATAAACGTCTTTAACGTCTGAAAAAAACTGAACCATGCAAAACCCATTTTTTATCAGCTTGATTTTTGCTCTCAAGCATCGATGAGTTAGAGTCATTAAAATGCTAATTAAGTTTGTAGAAAATCAGAAAAAGAAGTGGACGAATGGCAAGCAGAAGAAAATGAGAGTAGATCCTTATTTTCTGCATAGTGCTGGACAAGTAAGGCTAATAGAAGCCAAGGTTTCTGATCTTACCGTAAATAAGGCGTTTCCTATTATTAGTCTTAAACTGATTTTTATAGATAAACATACATCCATTTTTGCTGTAATACACCGTAAAAATTGGCTCGTCAAGCAATCCAAGATTGTTCGCACGAATAAGCGGTGGAATAACATGCTCTCTTGCCAGTTCGGTAAATCCAAGTCCCAAAATGCCATCAAGGTGTGTCTGCAAAAGCTTTGGTAATTTTTTTCAATAGAGAATTGAATGTAATAAGAATAAAAGTTGAAATTTACAGTAGTAGCAAAGAAATCCGCTATAGTTCTGGCCTGTCCAAATGTGGTTCCAGGAACAACAAGTTGATCAGTACCTTGCGCACCAAAACGTACTGTATCCCTGCCGAAAAAGCCCACTGCGTCTCCGGTGCCATACTAGAGTAAAAATAGCAACGGATGTCAGAATAACATGAATTTACCGGGAAACAAACCCTTATACTCCAGACCCCTCCGACTGTTTCATAGGTTTTCGACTTTCCCGCTGTGAAACGCGCTTTGTTTCTGCAAGGATTTCCAGTACGAGTTGCATTTTGAACCTCGCAGCATGACGGATCGCTGCAGAACACCTCGCAGATCGCTGTAACCAAGTGGTGAAAAGCTGAAGTGCTTCACAAATTAAGTATTGCTGGATAGAATGTCGGGACAGGCACAGATCTTATGGGCGATAATGGACAGAGATGAACATGATTCGGTAAAAAGTCGAAAGAGTGGCCTTTCGTTTTGGAGAGCCGCCGAAAAGTTGGAGCGAAAAGATTCTTACCAATCTATACAGCAAATACGATTCTCAAGCAGCTCTGGTATGATGTATACTAGTCATCTATTGAGGGCCATTTTTCCGTATTACAGTCGAGTAATTATTTGCTCAATCTAGTGTGCTTGCAGTGCAGAGAAAATGCGGTAGTTCACGTGAACAATTAGCCACGCTAGTCATGCCGGAATTTTGCGCGCGCAAATGACCGGCCACTAGAGTAGCTATCGTCCCCTCCACAGTTGTTACTACCCTTGGTCTGCGTCTCAACCCTGCCACGTGTGGCTAACATGTTGGCAACTTATTTATTTATTTATTTATTTATTCATACGCTCTTTGGCGTTCCTTACAAAAAGAACAAGAGAAAAAAAATACACACACAGTAAATCGAACAACCCCAGTCAAGGTCCACCGTGCCGTTGGGTCCATACCTTTAAATTGGTTAAGAAGTATGTTTGATAGAGCTTGCATGTGACTGCTCTGGACTACAATTGTCATAAAGATGTGATCATGGAGATGGTACCCATGCCCCCATTACTGCCAGCAAAACGTCCCTGAGATAAACTATCTAACTCAGGATTGCATGGTGGATATACTCCCACCGCATGAGGCTAATAGGAAGAGTCAGTTACTCGAGGCTTGGCACTTGGCAACGACATGTTTGCAACATGCTACAACATGTTGGCAGAACTTTTTGGCCACGCCAACATGTAGTGGCATGTTGCAACATGTTGTTGTCATGTTGCCAACATGTTAGCCACACGTGGCAGGTGTGAGACGCGACCAAGGGTAGCAGCAACTGTGGAGGGAACTATGGCTATCATTCATTCTCTGACTAAATAAGAGACACGAGCACGCCTTGCATACGTCTGACTAAAAGAGTGTGTTTTAACGCGTTTTGGCATATCATTATTAGGAATTGTGAAAGAAGATGTTCAAACTTGAGGTTTATAACGAGCTTGAACATGACCCTTCGAGAACCTCATATTGAATCAGCTAACACGTTTCAGAACCAGGATCGAGCAAGAAGTGTGGCACACAGCCGCCGGGTACCGTTCATCTCCTCGCCCCTGAGTTCCGTCTTGATACATCCCCCATTCTCGTTTGCGTATCCCAGGCATGACATAAAGGCTCTACCAAGCATAACTAGTATCATATTCATAATTATCATGTCAAATAACTCCTGTGGGCCAAGTTTTAGGATTTCTGAGGGTTCCCAAAATTGAGCCAGTGAGTAAAGTGGCCATTTTCAGACATGTTTAACTATATTTTGAAAGTGAATTAGCTACCTCTTTTTGTACTCAATACAAAACACTACACTATGTTCGCCATAAAGTCTGCTTCAAATAACCATAATATGGGATAAGGGCCAGCCAGAATCTCGCTTGTCCTTTCCGCTCGCAGTGGTTGTGCTTCTAGCAACTATTGCTCAACGAAAGAAGACGAATTCAGCACTAGTCGCTTCCACAAAAACTACAAGAATATGGCTGTAGAACTGCATATAATATGTCCCCTAATATTTTCTTTGGTAAGTTATGGGGTGTGGCACTATTCCAGATAGCTGTGGCTGCCACATCTTTGGGGTTGTGCCACATCCCATTAAGTTACCTTGAAACCATTCAAATATCTGCATTTTTTATCGTTGCTACTGCTTAACCTTTTTCTTACACAGCAGGAATTTCATTCGAAATACTTTCTTTTAAGAAAGGATTTAATCGTTTCTCCTCACCCATGCAAGTAGAAAATACAGCAAAAATATTGGGTTACCGGTACGCTACCACGTGACCCGCGGGAAGGCAGCAAGAACAGATATATTCGATAGCATAATTCTAGTAGGTTTCACAAAAGTGATTTGATTTGAGCCTGATTAGTCTTCTTTACTTTGAGGTATAGAAAGCGAAAAATGAGACAATCGAGATTTTGGCTTTTTCTTAATCTCTTAATGTGGAGGTTATTTGAAGTAGTATTCCTAAGGTAAGCAAAGAAGGAGTAGTTTTTTTTGTACTAACAAGGAAAGGAAGGTTGGTCGAAGTGGCCTTTTGAAATGAGATGTATACCGCCTTGTAGAGCTTAGAACGCTGATTCCAAATCTACCTTTGCTGCGGGCTTCTGGGTGAGGAGTTATGAAGGTTTTTGTCTAAAAATCTGAATGCAAAAGTAGGCTAAAATCAGTCGTAACATTTTTTATAGGGCTTAATTGGTAGTCGGGTCACTCGGTGCAACAAATATTCTTGATTCAAATACACCAGCTTGCTGCTGCTTCATTTAAACATTGGGAAAAGGTTATGACTGATTTTACCCTATTTTTGTTCAGATTTTTACCCACAAAAACCTTCATAACTTCTCAGATAATCGCCGGGGGCAGGCGGTCCGCAAACTCGCGCTTTTCTGCAGGCGGTCAGCAGGATTTCGGGGCGTGGCCAAATCTTCAGCGGGCGGTATTTGCGTTTTCTGCAAGCGGGCATCAATACAAAATTTTCTGCAAGCGCTCGTCAAACAATCTCTTTCAGCGAGCGCTGGCCAAACTTTCAGCAGGCGCTCAGACTCTTTTTACGCAGTTTCGGGCGTACGCCGAGAAAAGATGAGACTCTATGTGGCAGAGGTGCCATCGATGGTTTTATTACCCAAGTTTGGGGTACTTTCTTTCAGCGGAAAGTACCTGAGGGGTGTGCGGTCCTTCAAAAAGGACCGTGCGGCTCTCAACAATTTTGCATGTTCTCGCGGAAAATCCGCGAGAATGCGGCCACTGTGCCGCAACTTATGTATAGAAAAACCGCGATAGATCTTCGAGCGTTCGTCTAAAAATTGGCCAAAATTATTCCAAATTTCTGCAAGCGGACCACAAAAAATCAGCGAACTATTTTTCCGGTGCCCGCTTGCTCAAAGTTCGCATGGCCGCTTGCCCCCGGCGATTATCTGAGTTCTCGCCCAGAAGCCCGCAGCAGATAGCAAAGGTAGATTTGGAATCAGCGTTCCAAGCTCTACAAGGTGGCATGCACCTCATTTCAAAAGGCTACTTCGACCAACCTTCCTTCCCTTGTAAGTGCAGAAAGCGATAGTTAGCTCACTTTCAAAACAAAGTTAACATGATCGAAAATGAATATCCCATTTGAGTGGTCCATGCTTGAAAACCTCAGATTTCGCTGAAAATTGGCCCAAGGGTTATTCGACAGGCTAATTACGAAAACAAAGCTCCATGCTTTTATAGATATTTTATCATGCTGCAACGTCTACGATGGAGGGCCAAAACATCACTGCGCAAGTATTTTGCATGATGGCCGTATCTGACATTGACATCGAATATCATGTTATCGCTAACAGCGATAACGTGATACCCCCCCCCCCCCTTGGTTCCTCATCAGGGCCCAGCTCGAGTCGGTTTCTAGGGTCCCTGCAAACGAGTCTCCCTGACTTTCGGAAGTTTTACGAAGTCACCTTTGACCTACCTGCTTAGAAGGAACTGAAAACAAAAAAGATTTACTGAAAGAAAATACGTAAGAAAAGAGTGAAAATCCAAGTTGGAGCTGTATGCTACGCATGCACAAGGGTTCGGCATTGGAGCGCGATACCTAACAGAGCGGTCTATGAAGAAATGAAAGCAAAAAACAAAGGAAATGCAATGATATGAAATTGTCTTCATGTGCAGGGATAGAATTTTGACCGGGAATCCGTCCATGACAGAAAAATCCGAAACTTATGTGAAATGACAGAACTATTAGGTTGGAAACTAACAATAAGTTTTGCAGCTGGTCTCATAACTTCCCTCTCACTCAACATGGCGCACTCAAATTTTGCCACTGCGTTGGTTATTACGTAAGCTACAAACGCAGCTGCTGTCCTACCAAAATCTGACGTCGCAGTGAGGGTTAATGGTATGAAAGGAAAAAATTCATGAGGGTTACGGTAGATGCATGGTATGAAAGGGAAAAATTCATGAGGGTTACGGTAGATGCATGGTATGAAAGGGAAAAATTCAAAGTTTGGCGAATTTGGCTGAAACTTGGCATAGAGGTGTTATCCGACATGCTGATCACGAAAACGATAGTGAAATTGCGTGATAAGGGCTTTTTTGTAGGATTACTGTAGGTGTACGTTATGCGGTCTCACCCTAAACAAGGAAAAGGCATCGATTCAACAAATGAATGCGATATCGCGTTCGGCAGGTCAAATAACCTTACTACGTGAAGTCTCGGCGGAATTTGAGCTTCGGACTCTTTAGTCGTTGACGGTCGTCCCCAGCAGCTCTTGCGACATCGACTCGTTCGACTTTATGAGGACGCCAAATCTCGACATGCCCCCAAATTTTTCTTTCTTAATAGGCCAAAGGAGTCAACCTCCAGCAATAATTTTTGACGAATCCGGATCACTGCGCACGGTCTAGGTTGCCAAAGACTTCATTTTAGCTTGAAACCCCAAAAATTCTCCAATTTCACTAGTTTTCAAAAAACGCCTAAAACTTTTCTATTTCGCGTTCAAAATTTAGACAATTTGTGCTCACTTGTCACACTGTCTTCTACATAATGTCAAAGTTTGAGTGCGCCATATCCAAAGAGAGTGAAGTTATGAAACCAGTTGCAAAACTTAGTTTCCAGCCTAATATATACTCCAGACGATCTCAGATCGTCCGGTGGCCGTCTGGAGACGATCTAATTTTGGAAAAGGTATTACTTCACATAAGTTTTCAAATCCTTTTGCATAACTCTTGTGCAAATAATTTTCTATGTATATAGTTCAAATTTGGTGTCATATGCTTCCGTGTGCGCTGTAAACAAGCAATTTGTTTACTTTAGCCTTGCTCTCAAATCGCGCGCACTTTTCGCCATACACGATTGAGCATGTCAGTCGCGCGATAACCTGTCCGAAAAGCTTGTATTCGATCAAATGGCGCTTATTCTTGGTGCTCGGCCCCAACTCGTCAAAAAGGATGTTTTTTTTTTGCTTTTTGCTTCGAAAACGAAGTCCAGCCTGCTTAGACAATCTGCGCCGGACCCTGTTCCTCATTACGACCCCAGGTGTGACGTGTCACACCGCACGCTTGACCCCCGTCAGAACTCACTCGTCAACTTTTTAAATAAACGTACCCAGAGCGTGTTCGCCTCTCTTATTCAGAGAATGAACGATATTTATTCACGTGCAGATTACCGCATTTTCTCGACTGCAAGCAACTGTCTCGAGCGACAAAATCTACTCGACTGTATAACTTGATTCAATGGGTTGGTGGCTGAAAGGTGGGGCTTTGCGACCTAACTAGAGCCGATCGCGCCCTCGACGCAGCCTGCCTCTCTCTCGCGCAGCGCGCTCTGGTCATTCCCTAACCTTACCTTGGTTACGAAGCCCGCCTTCCAGAAGCCAATACAGTTGTAACAAAGGGTATAAGCCCCTGCAAGACGAAGACGGTCGGTTCGATGTGCGACGTGGCTGTGACGCAGCCGTGTCGCAGCCGCGTTGTACATTGAACCTACCGCCTTCATCTTGCAGGAGCTTATATTCGACTGTTCATAAAAAAGGATCTTTTAGTAGTTCCATTGAACAGGAACCTAGAAAGAGCGCAGGAATTTTAATGCTTTACGAGTCTCACAATCCGTTTAATCCATATCGCTTATTCTTGCTCTTCCGCAGCTTACTACAGCTATAAATCATTACTGCAACTCCATAAGCTCCTCGTCCATAAATTATGAGGTGCGCTAATCTCGTTGAGACCATTTGAACAAAAATGAACCCGAAAATAACTTTGGGAAACAAAAAAAAGACTACGTGAGGAAAAACACGCCAGAGAAGGAAAAGTCACAGACTTGTGCACAACCTGTTTCGCCTTTACTTCTTCCAAAGTTTTCCCGTGAATTTATAAGATTGGGACTAAAAGTAATGCGGGCTGCTTGGGAAATGCTTTTCCCACTTACCGCTGAAACATCTTTGATTTCTATATCATTGACCCGACCACTCCATTTTTTCACAATGCATAGGGAATTTTCATAGGCTGACTTGTACGCCACTTATTTTTGAGTACAAACTCACTCAAGAATGATTGATACCTGTGCAGCAGGCGTGTAGCCGAACAGCGGCAACTTCTTTTGATTCACGTCCCCTTTTGCGTTGTAACCGGGCAAGCTCCGCCTTCTATTCATGTACAGGGTGCGTCAAAAGTCTGGGAGCCTAATTTTGCAGTACTGCAATTACAAAAATACTGATGGTTTTGATCTCATTTTTATGCCACATGATGCTGCTCTCATCCCCTACAAAATACACTTTAGTTAGCTGGAAATGGCTGTTATATGTTTTTGTGTAAGATTGAAAATTACTTAACTAGTACTTTTGAGAAGCGAAAAACCAGATTTTTTAGTATTTACAATTTTTGCTATAGCTAGAGATGCAAATAATATTTCACAACATTTCGATGCAGACAATGTAGAAGAGGCTTTGCGCTATTGAATCGTAGATTTGCTTTTGCCAGAAGCTGTTCTTGCATAAAAGGAAATAAAAGCTTGCGAATTTTACCTACGTACCAGTGGCCATCCGTCTTCTGAACAAATTCAAAAGCTATAGAAGCACAGCAGGCACTGAGGCCGAGGCTATATTCTGATCCGCCTTCTTAATAAGAATCTATTGAAATTCGGTCGAAGGAACTCCTTCTATACTTTTTGAATAATAATTTTCCTCTTCCCTTCGCGCATTGTAACCAAATTTCCGGTATGCGCGTACATATGCTTCCATTTGAAAATCCTATATACCCTAAAATCCCATAGATAGGAGCGGTTTAATTTACCGGTGAAAAATGAATTGGAAGAAATTGAAATTGAATGCAGTCACCCCTCTAACTTGATGGATGGATAAAAAAAATCGGAAAAGAAGTTTAGAAGAAGCTCCGCCCCTCAACTCTAAACCCGCCCACTTAATAAACAATTCATATAGAAAAATAGCGATTTTAACGCAATTTCGGAATTTCTATATGAATTGTTTATTAAGTGGGCGGGGTTTAGAGTTGAGGGGCGGAGCTTCTTCTAAACTTCTTCTCCGATTTTTATTTATCCATCCATCAAGTTAGAGGGGTGACTGCATTCAATTTCAATTTCTTCCAATACATTTTTCACGGGTAAATTAAACCGCTCTTACCATTGGGATTTTAGGGTATTTTTATTCCTAAGCTATGCAAAAGACTCTTTTAGAAGTATGTTGTAGGAAAAGCTTGCTCTATCATGTTGCACATTTTCCAAGGTGAAAGAAGCAGTAATTGTGAAGACGCAGGGAGAATTTTATTACGACTATCTGCGTGCCATGACAGGTGTCCTTGCCAAAGAATTTGTAGGGCCGCGAGGAAGCCAAAAGAGGAATTTTAGAAATTCAAGAATTGTGCTGTATCCGCAGTGCTTCGAATTATGTGTGAGCCAAATTTTTCGTTTCTAGGTACTTCCCTTCTCATTCTATTGGAAAAAGTACTAGGCTCCCAGACTTTTGACGCACCCTGTATATAAGGAGCCCCTACTGTTTATACTACTATTTATAGATCGTCTCTGTTAGAATCCACGTCACCTGTGCGAAATCTATATTACAATTGGTGTACCCCCCCCTTTCACTTGGTACACATCTTATCTTGTTTATTTTGAAAAAACTAATCTAAAAAAAAGCTTCTGACGTCAAAAATGAAAACTGCAAAATTTTCATTACTTTGCAATAGTTAAATATCCACATAAAAAACGAATTTCATTGCAAGCCACACATCAGCATGAGTTATCAGAGTCGTAATTTTTTTTGAAATCGTTAAACAAAGATTGGGCCGCGGACAGAAAAGCAAGGAGGGGAGCCAGTGGTCTTTCGGTCAAACGGGTAAAACCAAAAGTTGGTTTGCTCAGGCACACGCTAACTCAATCCACTTGATCCGCTTGATCTACTTCGCTATTGGTTAAAATAGTAAGCATACCAATAGCGAAGAGGATGTTCCTTTTGATCCACTTCGCCTACTCATCAGTTCACCGCTTTAAATAGGAGTGGATAAACTGGTTGGAGTGTAAAGCGTGACTTAGTTAGTAACATTGAGGATCTAACGAAAGGTTGTAAGGAAATTGGAGGAAGCGGCAATCTAGCCTATTATTTTCTGCCTGAGGGGGATAGTAATGTGAATTTGCATGCCACATTCAACTCTGGATAATTACGATACGAGCAAAAGTTTTGACTCACGCCCCAAGTCGCACAGTGAGTTCTTGCAGTGATCAGGTCTATCTGGCAACTTGTAGCAGGAGTCATCAGGTACCCAAAGATTGGCAGAGCCTGTGTCCAAGACTACCTTGAAAAATTAAAATATAATGTTTAGGAAAATGAAATCATGATTGAAATATGCCTTACTCGAAAAGTCTGTTCAGGAGTACCGATTGTGATTTCACCAATGTATTGCATGTCCAAATATGTAACTAACTGCAACAGAAAAATGCCAGAGATGTAAGCAGCTGCGCAAACACAATACTTTAGTCTGCTCACATCTTCTATGTGAATCTCCCCAAAAATATTGTGGATTGCTCGTCGTCTCATCATATCGCTTACAAATTTTTCATAAGTTTTATTACGTATCATTTCAACCATTGGCGGTGTAATCCTCTTCACATGCATCCTATGTACGGCAGTCATGGCGCATCCAACGATGAACAACAAAATCATTGGAATATACATTTTGGCTGAATATAGCGAGACGTGAGTTCGCATTTGTAGATTTTTGAAAACAGAGTAAATAAGCATAGAAAGCGAAATTTTTGATGAAATAGTAAAAATAATCCTGAGTTGTTACACAAATTTTGCTGCACTCACCGGAAAGAGACTTCACAACTTTCTCAAACGATTTTTCTTATCTCCATATTATGTGGATGGTTATGGATACTCGATATCCAAATGTCAGACATAAAACATATCTTGAATTCTTGAAAATTCTCCTTACAACTTACGCTATCGAAGATTGCACCTACTCTTATTATTACACTAATAGTTATGATAATCAGTGTAAAAATAAAGAATCGTATAAGATTGCTCAAGCAGTGATGATTGTGAGTTTGTTCTTGTATTATTCAGCACCTTTTTTTCAATGTCCATGTTGGCAGCGCATCAAATTCATAGAGATGAACAAGAAAAATTGATATTGAAAAGGCAACTAGAGCGAGATCGTGCTGAAAGTTTTATATGAGACGGTGAAATCGATAGAGATTTTGCGGACTGGAGGTGTAAGAAAATGGGAATTAACAGAGTTTTAACGCCCTAACATTGTCAGTTATAAGTCTTCCTAGACTAATGCGACAGTTTCTATCTTTTTCCGAAGTGAATTCATTCATAAGCAAACATATCGGAGTTGGCTTAAAATAGAAAATAATTATAGAAACTTTCATGTATGCTCACTTGAATCACAATAAATAATGCTCCTGGCTATTAATGGATATAAATAGGGTTATCATCTGCAACTACAACAACTCCTTACTGAGCGTCTTTTGAAGATATGGTGCCTGAAGGGCTCTCGAACTTGGGTAGGTGATAATTGCAAAATTCGATTCTCAGACAGTTTGACGATTGCGGAAAAATCTAATCTTTCTGAGGCAGCTTAAATAGTCCAGAAATGTGTAACTCAGAAAACATAACCTCACCACTTCAAAGGCTAATATATTTCATACTTTTATGACTTCCAAACTTGCTATACGTGCGACACGTCCATGCAAGTATACAAGTCAAAACGCGTTCGCCACAGATTTACTTCTTTGTGGTTGTTACTAGCGGCGGAGATGTGGCCGCACTTGTTAGATCTCTTGTTGAAGATCGTCAGCCTGCACTGTGGCTCCTCACTCAACATGTTCGACATGTTGAAATGACGTGTATCATCATTACATTGCGTCAGTTACTCAAAAGTAACTCAAAGAGATTTGCTCTAAATCTCCTCGTTAGTATGTACACTATTTCGGGATTCATCGCTCTGATCATCTCGCATGACTCTGCAGGGAGATGATCTCCCTGCCGGACTTGACTTGAGGCTCACATGCCAGGTGAAATTGCACTCTTAAAGCATGGGGAAGTGGGCGGTCGTCATTTCACCTTACGGAATCTCACATAAGGGCTTCAGGGGAGATCTTCTCCCCGGATCGGTTTACTACAGACCTATACATCTTGCAATGTTGTTAGCTTTGAAAGTAGCGCTCTATTTCATTAGCACCACATTTTTTTATCTACAGGCAAAGAATTTTGCTGTGAGTAACGGTGACAAATCCCGCCTAGTTTTTATAAAGATATGATTTCATTGGAGCTAATGGCGAAGATCGTCAACATCGCCTCATTTCTTGATAACATGGAACGATGTCAGTATCAATTAAACAATAATTTACAGTTGCTTCCCTTTCTCGATTTGTATGTAATCTCCTTTCAGTTAAGATTCATCAAAGATTTTTTTCATGCATTTGGGCAGTGTTGTGTTGGTCATCTACGCGCATTATCAAAATAATCGTCTCTTCGAGCCCTGCTTACAACATCTTTCCATTTGGAATTTTTGTAAATTTTTCGACGTTTTTTCGCAACAGTTTCTTTCTAGTTTGAGATTTTCGGTACATTCTGTTCCATATGGAGAAAGTTATTGTTCAAAGGTGAAAAAAACAAGTGAAGCTGCATTGGTGAAGTCGTGTTGAAACCAAAACCGCAGTTTTTGGTGCAGGATTTGATTTTTTCGATGGATATCAGCTAGCGAACAGCGTTTATCCAAGATTTCGTCATCCTGAGATTTCACCATCTCACTATTAACATGTTTAGCAGCGTAGTAGTGTATATTCTCAGTACAAGTTTACATACGCATAGCACTAGCATATTCATCGAGTTTGTAGAGATAAACGACTTTAAAATGTAAGGGGGTCTCCTGGGATCTTTTGGGGATCACACAGAATAGTGAAATTTTCCACTTGTATCACAGTATCTTGTCATTCATTATGTTCAAGTATCATGGTATGGGAATCTTCATAATCTTCATAGGTAGAATAAGAATAGTACAGATAACTAAAGTAGCGGGAGATGACGCGCCCCTCTCAGATCCCCTCGCCATCCTAGCGGGATATAGGTGCATAAGGGACAAGAGGTCTGAGACTTATAAAGTAATCAGTTGTTCCAAAACCAAACAGTTCGACACTCATTCAAATCTCACTTTATTTTGATGTCAACGGGACATTTCTAGAGGACGCTAGTTAGATGAATAGATAGATAGATTCCTTATTAGTTATAAGTGGAAGGTTTGAGAGGGTAAACTTCAGCTCTACACTCGACCTCTTTGTTTTCTTCCATAGGATTGCAGATTCCGCAGTACAGAACCTATCGTTAATTCCACTACCTGTACGCACTGTAGATCTGTCCGCGGGGTGTAGGACGATTCGCACTACCGTCATGCTTTCCACACAGGATCATCGCCGCGCGGACACACCCTGCGGCGGCTTTTGCCTAAGCAAAACATGGGGAGGAAAGGTTTGCGGCGTGCATTACATGTTAAGACAAGTCAAAATCAGGGAGACGCTGGAGACCGCCCGTGCGAAAAGACCGTCTCCCCTGTCCGCGTTCTTTTGACAGATACCTGCCGTTTCCTACGCTACGACGCGGTGAGCCAAAACTTACGCTCAGAACAAACAGCTTGTGCTGGCAAACTTGGTGAGGTCTGTTGCCTGTGACTGAGCTTTCAAGGAAAACAATGAACAGTCGAGTAAATTTCTGCTTAGTATAATGTGCTCACATGTACAGTGGAATCATTTCATATGATCATGTGTGACCCTGCACACACAATCACCTTTGGCGTCCTCATCCTGAATTTGCAGTCGCAAAAACGCAGGAGAATCACCTATTGTTATCAATCACATCAATTTGAGGTGAAAGTTTTTTGAGGTTTGAGGTACCTAAAAAGGAGAGAAAGTGTTAAACACATTGAAAACACTTACTTAGAAGGTTGTTTACTCTAGGAATCCAGGATGGGAACGCCAAAGGTGGTTTGCGTGTGCAATGACACACATGATCATATTAAATGACTCGAATGTAACTGTAGGTGAAATGCGGTAGAATTTGCGCGTGAGCAGTAGATAGCTACGCCTGACGCCGGCCAATTGCGGCGCAGGATGCTGGCATTACTTGTGTGGCTAAATGTTTACGCGCAAATTCTACCGCATTTCACCTACACTGCAAGCGCACCATATAAAGCGGAAAATCTAGTCAACTGTATGTTAAAGATTTCGCTATTCCTATCACTCTTGTCTTGTACCAGGCGAGACTGAGTTTTTTCGTAATCAAATGTCAGTGGTTCAGAAAGTTGTCCAAAGACTTCAGGTACAAGCCAATGTAATAAAGCAAAGTACAATGGAAAAGGCTGCAGAATCTAGTCGGCTGTTCTTGTATGTCAAGATAATAAATTGGACAATTACTAGCAATGATATTTAAAAGTAAAGGCTAGTGCATGACGAAGGCGCAGAAGCGGTAGTGGTTGAGAGGGCGCGAACGTGGCGCGCGCGTATTCTCACCGTTGTAAGTCCTGCGCCTTATGCGCTCTGCGGCTAATAAAGCCGCGTTCGCGCCCAAAGTCTGCGCCTTCGTCATGCAGCAGCCTACACTCATTTCTGTCATTTGTGATTCAGTCGCTCCTTTGAAATAGATTTACTCAGTAAATCGTATCCCTATCTAAATCTATCACTTTTCAGTTGGTCTAGAAAAACCTATTTGTTTGTTAGCCATGTCATGGATATTACAATATTCGCGTAAGAATGGACCACCGAGGATCCATTGCGGTGCCAAGGAAGCTCCGATTCTTGGCTGAAGTCCTAGAACGCAAGTATTTTCATCAATGTGGACAATCAGGTTTTTAGCTGTGATAGGATAGTCCTTTCCAGCGATTGTGATGGTTACTTCAGTCTCCGCATTGCAGTCGAGCATGAAGAGGAAGTTGGAGAAGCTGAGCTGGAAGACATAGTGAAACATTTGCTATGATTTCATTCAGAGGCTGGTCCCTGACGATGACGGTCGGTTTACGCGAAGCGCGTGCGAAGCGGCCTTCGACCATCTTTTATCATTAGGCTCCCGCCAGAGTGCCGAAGTTATGCCAGCGCTACGCCAGCATTTCGATCGATACACGTGTATTTCGTTGGGGCGGGGCTAGCTCAGCAGGTAGATGTCCCCAACGAAATACACGTGTATCGATCGAAATGCTGGCGTAGCGCTGGCATAACTTCGGCACTCTGGCGGGAGCCTTAGAGCTCGTGTGCCCGTGCAAGCTCGCTCGCATGGCCGACCGTATTCCTCTCAAACTAATTTTAACGAAATTGTTACATGTAATATTATTTATTGTAGCAGGTATATGTGAAGTACGATGCAACAAAAAGCACCTACACCTCAGTTATATAGCATGTCTGCATTGTTAAACTGCCTGATTAACTTGAAAGCGGCTTTTCTGACAGCCATCAAATTTCCGAAAATTTGAAATTTAAAGTTAGTTTTTTTACAATTATTAGGTTGATGCAAAAGAAATGGCCGATTTCCAAGCCTTTTTTCAGGGCAACTTTTCTCCATCAATACTTCTTCTTCACAATGGATTTAGTATACTGTCGCGAAGCTGTTTTCATGCTCTATCTAACGATGCTTAAAACGGGCTCTCATCCCCATCTCTTGTAAAGTAACTGA